CACCCCCGCGCCCCGCACTGAACGTCCTAATGACACGGCCGCGCAGACTCCTACCTGTCAATTATGTGTAACAAAAGCAGCTGGCAATTGCAAGCTCAGGCTAAAGGCCCATTCGGGCCCATTGCTATCATCATGCCCGGCCGCTGCACTGTACTGTGCGCCGCTGTGCGCCGCTGTGCGCGCGTATACGGGCCAGGTGCCCGGCGCTGCGCAAGCGCACTACACCGCGCCAAATAACAACCACTAAAATAGAACCACGCCACGACTGCATGACGCCCTTATTTTTCTGTATCAAAAATGATACACTACTACTATTTTTAGAATTATCTTTAAGCCTCATAATTTATTCCTTGGTGTGTGTGTGTGTGCGTGTGTGTGTTTTGTTATTTCAAGGCGGTAGCGTGCACCGGGCATTTCGAGGAGAAAATGAACTCGTCTCCGCCATGCCTTCGCCCCCGTTCCCCCCTGCTGCCCCCTTCCTGTCCTAACATAAGCTCGCCATGCTTTTGCTCGTGTGCGGAGCGGCTATGAGTGTCGCACGGAGATTGATGCGAGTGGCGCCATAGAGGGAAGGCCGGGGTGAAAAGGGGGGGGGGGCAGGGGGTTCTGCGACAGAAAAGGGTAAAAGAAAATGGAAACGAATGACACGGGTAAGCGATAGAGTCGCATGCGGCATGAACAAGCATAACACAAGAGAGCGCGGGGAGTGCTGCAGAGAGTGCATGCAGTACGTTGTGGTGTTCCTCCGTTGAGGTTTAGTGTCTCTGCGGCGTGCATTTATTTTTAAAAATTTCTTACGTCAGCAGCTTGACGTTCGGTGATACTAGTACTCATGCAAAAAAGCTACGTCGAGGGACGTATCGTGAAAGCAGATGATACAAATTTCAGGATATGTCTGTGCCCTAATTTTCTCTCATACTTTGCTGTTATTTGTTAATGGCTGTTTGTCACTTTTAGCAATTGCTTTCTTGCAATTCAACGGACTAGCGGCATGGCATAGAGGAAGAGATAGGATAGGGGGCAGCAGGCAGCAGGCAGGCCGGGCGGCATCCGTGGCTCAGTATTGTTGGGTATTGTTGGTGGGCACGGGCGGCGCTGGCGACTTCTCGCGCCCCTTATACATCTGGGTGACGTCATGCGCTTTGGTTCTCTGCCCTTCTCGAGAGTACAAGCTGCTGACACCTTAAAGTTTTATATATATATGTTTTATGTTTAGTCTAAAGCTATTTAAGGTATCATCTGCTAAAAAGGATTCAATATGATAAGATCGTCACCACCGGGGGTTGGTTACTGACGCCGGTGACAGAGGCAGTAAACGTCATCGGTCCACGAGTGGTGGTCGGTGTGTGCGCCGGGTATGTGGTGCGGCCGCCCGTCCCCAGCGACCCACTAACGTGACATTCATGGACTCAGAGTAACGTCGTACGGTTCGATCCGTAACTCTAGATGTGGAACCAATCCCCGATTCAAAAGCGCGGCAAGATAACGAAGCCGACGCCGCAATTCGAATCACGGTAAAGACCTTGCGTCGGCGTCGGGTAAATATGCGTGCTTCCAGCAATATTTCTCCAATTATTTTTTCTTTCATTGTTTCGCCGTGAAACGAGCGTATTTCAAAGGGGGCGCGCGCGCTCTCGGACACCCGTGTGGAAAGGCACCGTTGCAGAACATGTGCGCGTATTCCATTAATGCGTCTTCGCTGCATGTAGTAAAAATCCCCCACTCTGGCAAGAGCGAGGCACACACACACACACACACACACACACACACACACACACACACACACACACACACAACGCGCGCGTAAGAGACGGTGGAGGCACCGCCGCCGTGGAGGTACCCTTCGAAGAAACAAACTTGGGCAAACCAGTCAGAGGTGCCTGGGAAGGTGCACGGCGCCCCCAACGACGATTTACACGGTCATACGACTCGACTCTGCACATGCTTTGCGGTGGTGCGACAAAGATTTTTCTTGCAGAGCAACCCCAAAATTGGTTTACTGCTCATAGTCAATTGCTCCACAGCACAAAAGAAAAGATCTATTAAAAACTTGAAATTTAGTACATCTGAAACATTTTCCCCCTTCGGCATGTGTCTCTATATTAACATTTTGAGCAGTATACAATAATAATTGTGGCTTTAACTTTTATGCAAACCGGACGTCTTTTCCCTTCGCTCTCCCTCTCGCCCTGTCTCTCTCTCTCTCTCTCTCCCTCTCTGGAAGGTGCACGCCCCTCGCCATGTGCCCTGTACCAGCGCGCGCCGCGGCGACACAGGTGGCGACAGGTGATCCGTCCAGGTGAGAGAACCCTTCAGTGACCTCTCTCTTGTGTTCCGCCCCCCCC